GGCTCATATGGTAGCGTAACGTCATATAAATACAAGTGTCAAACGACTGGCTGTGAGCCGACACCTGAACGCCAGTCACTACTCGTAAGCGAGAGTTATGTGTAAATTGAGTGAAAGTTTTCGGTTAATATGAAAAGTGTGTGTAATTTATAACACAATAAAAGCTTTTATCAAATCACAGGTAAATGTTTGGTGACATCAATGCGATACAAATGACTTGATTTCGATACGATCGCTGCGAAAGTGACGGCTAATCACTACTTAAACATTAAAATTGCATTAAAATTATGCTTTTTATCTCATTATCGTATCATTTAAATCATAAATAATAAACATTTTGTGACAAACACTATACACAAAAGCTAATGCATCGGTTCATGTGATACATCATCATCTCATTTGCCACTCATTCATATCCTGGTAATTAGTCTGTGATTTGAGAGGCGAGTGGACGACGACTGCTGCGGAGGAATAATGTCACAGAAGCGAATCCATTATCACAGCCTTATACCCAACACGCGGCTCGACTCGCGGCTACTGTTGAAGTCGTTGATCGCCTTTAATATAGTTTTAGCCGTTTATAACATAATCACACTTCAGTCCAACACGTCCTCCAAAGCCAATCCGTGTCTCATTGTCATCAACACATCCAAACACTCCACCAATGCTCACAACTCCCTGCAAAAGGTATGCCAATTGGTTAACCGGTCCTCCCATTCGTGTCTAACACTCTCGCCATTGAATCCACTCTTAGGCCGACTTCGAGCCGCAGAATGTGGCCAACCCTGAGGTGACACCCATTAATGGCCAACTGTTTGACACGAGAGACAAACCGAGTGATAGAAGCGAAGACAAGCCAAACATGAGTTCAAATATAAGTGAAGACAAAACTAAAATACTTAATGCTCGGACTCGGGCGCCGATTTGGTGGTCGACCGAAACGCGCGGCTCGTATACCGTTCTCAAGAACTTCATTCCCGGCGACGATAAGCCACAGCCGTTAGAGTCGGTGACGCTCACCACTCAGGGCACCCATTCATTCCTCTACCACATCGAGAACCTGTGCCTCCGATGGGACGGACACATATCGGTCGCCGTCTACGCGCCCGGCCTTGACTTCCCTCTCGTCGTCAATCTAATCCATTATCTGCGCAAATGTCGCGACCCGTGCGTGAAGGCGAAGACGTCGTGGCATTTGGTGTACGACACTCTCCATAACCCGCACTCAAACGCTTCCTATCCGGACAGTTACGTCGAAGACATGGATTTTGATTGCACTCAAAGTTACTCCGAGTTGACCGATAGGTTCAACACTACGTTCAGAAGCGATCACTCGCTTCCGTATCCCATAAATGTTGTCCGAAACGTGGCCCGACTTAACGCTCAAACCAAATACATATTCGCCTCCGACATCGAGTTATACCCGTCGGTTG